TCTTACTTTCCAAAAGGGTTTGTTATTGTCACTCTTAATAAATTTCATTATGTGAGATTTTTGAATTAAGCTGATCAGGACATTTTCTTGGTCTTCATCATTTTATTTACAGTAAATTACTTTCCAGTAGGCAACTCATTTCATTCAAGCTTTCTCACCTTTCTCACCAAGCCTCCTTAAAAGACATAAATATCTGCCCTCGGATATTTAAAAACAGTTTCCACAAAGCCCAGACATTGTCAATACCATAAGGGTCAGATTTATGTGGTGTCATTAATGATGACACTTCGATCAGTGAAAGCCAAAACATGAAAAAAAAAAAAAAAAAAAAAAAAAAAAAAAAAAAAAATAAAAAAAAAAAAAAGAAAAAAAAAAAGAAAAAATATGTGAACTAAAAAGTAGCAATGTACATGTACTACACCTGCAAAAGCAGCAGCACAGAGATTTAAGAAAGCTGAAGCTGTGCTTCCAAGAGTTACTGGTGCTGCATGAAAGAAGTTCCATGACCCCACCATCTCATTTAATTCTGCTTTGAATGCTACCTCAGAGGACTGCCAGCACTACTGCAGTCTGATTAATTTTACAGAGAAAATAGCTTCAAAACTAAACAAAACCTGATGCAAGACCTTGATGAGACAGGGAGCATAAGAAAGGGAGAACCTTGAGGAGATTCCTGTTCATGTAGCAGAAGAAAGGCCTCACCTGGCTTTGTGTCAGTCTCCTCTTTACTGATGTGGGGGGTAGAGGGATCACGTTGGTGTAGCTAAAGAGAGAGGGGTGTGTATTATACACAAAGGTGTGGGGGCGTGTAAATGCAAAATATGCACCTTTCTTCCTGTAAAAACAACCTTAACAGGTAAGCTAGTCAGATATTTAACTTCTGGGCGGCTTGCCATGGGTCTGACACTGGGATGTTCATCCCACTGTTCTGAAGAGCTCTGTTTCACCCACAAGATCATGAACTCAGTGCTGGAATCACTGAGGAAAATTCTATTGACAGTGCAATTCAGGAGATTGGATTACACAGCAATATTTGTCCCTCTTTCTTTAAACTTAAGAATAACTGAGAGCATCATTTTGGCGTCTTGTCTCTTTTAATTTCCTATTACAAGCTGCATTATGAAGCTTCTCTTTGAGAGGTTTATGAAATTCTTTCCAAAGCCATTTTTCTTTTTGTCTACATCCCTTTCTTAAAGTTAAAATGTCATATCTAGAATTAGAAATGTTGTCTGACATATGGGTCTAACAAAAACATATTTTGGAAATTAAAATCTGAAAACACACATTTAACTGTGCAGCCACTCAGTCCAAAATGAAACAAAAGTCCCTAAACTTCTTTTCATAATGAAATATTTTTTAGAACTTTTTGTTGTAGTGCCGTGTTAAAAAATCTTCTGAGTTTTAACATTTTGGACCACAAGATTTCATTTTTTCACTTGAAGATAAAGAGAAATGAGCTAGTTACTTTATAAGGAAAAATTCTAAAAACTCAATAAAGGCAGAAATTTGCAGAAGGACAATTTTTACGTATTTTAAATCACTCTTCTTGGGAACTTTTTTTTTTTTTTTTTTTTTTTTTTTTTTTTTTTTTTTTTTTTGTTAGAAGACAAGCCATTGGTAGCTGATAAAAAACAAATCTGTTTTTTTTTTTTCCATATAGACCTCAAAAATCTGTAGCTATTATGAGCTAGTTAGAATGCAATTCATCTGCCTTTCAAAAATAAAGAAATGTGCCTAAAGATAGAAGAACCTCTCCTAGGCTTCCAGCTAAGGTGCATCCACATCTCAGGGACCAAATTATGGGAGGAAAGAAGACAACAAATGTGGATAGAAGCTAATGCAGTCTTCATAAAATAAACAACCAGATGTTCTAAAGAGCACTACAGAGAGGAAAGCACTGCCACAGGAGTTTGGAGAGTGACTTCTCCCCTAAATGGAGTGTAATGCTGTCCACTAATGGAAAAGTATGTGCTAATGCCTGAAAATCCCCCAAAGGGTGCAAAGCAAGTGGTTTGGGTGTCTCAGAGTTTGACATTGGCAAATGAACAGAATTTAGACCAACTCAGTCCCTTGGTTTCAGCATATCCTTAGCATTGTTCAAAGGATGCTTATGCTGTCTTTATAAAATGTTTCTTTGCCAAACACACCACTGTTTTATTAAGCCATGAAGTGCTTTATAGACTTCATAGTCAGTGATTTTAGGTGCAATGCAAAAATTATTCAGCAAAATTCTTCAGCCCATGTCTTGAGACAGCTCAGGTGTAAGATCATTTTATCATGTCAAAGAAACCCAAATAACCCTTAAATGTTTCATTTTTGCCTCCCTAATTGGGAGCTGAGAAGATGAGATAAGATATTCATAGCAGCAGCCCTCTGGCCACAGAGAGAAACAGGCACAACTTTCCCAGGCATTATCCTGGGGAAGGCTGTGAGAAGATCAAAGAATGATAAACAATTCTTATCTTCACTTGGTGCACCTGTTGCTGTGAACATGTGGAATGTGTTATGAAGATTTTTTTATTAAAGGGTGGTTTCTTAATTAGCAATGGTGATGATGGTGTTTGGACTGGAGGACCAATTAGGTCCAGCTGTATTGTAACTGTCTATAAAAGTAGTGGGTTTCTTAATAAGGATAGAATAATAAATAAATTGATCAGGCTTCTGAGAATCATGGATTTAATGCTAATTATTACCTGGCCAGGGACCTGTGACGACAGATATTTAATACAAAATTGTCATCTAGTTCAAAGAAGAAACTCCTTGTCCCACTCAATTTGGATCCTCCAGAATTCAGAAGCTGTGCATGCCAGCCAAATTCTGGACCATGTGGCATAAAGGTGCAAAGGTTTCCCAGATGCCCAATGAATAAATGAAAAGATTCCCACTGATTCTGATAATGGCGGTCCAAGCCTTCTGTGGAAAAGCTCAGGGAACCCTTATTTTCAAGATCAAGACAGCTTTTTCAGAAGATTTCATTAACAGCTTTTTTAAGTCAGGTAGCACACACTAAAGCTAGAAAAGTATGACAAGTACAACCATCTTCCACATTCAAGAAAAAGTGGAATAGCATTTGGGAATTTATTGTAAAGAATTATGTTCCAAATGTATTACAAGTTACACGTGGAGCTACAATTTGGATTAGTTCCAGCTTGTCAATTTTCTTTAGTAATTCTACTTTTTCAGCAGTCAGAGTATTGCTGTTCAAAAGAGTCCTTACTTCTTTGGATGATTACAGAGAGCCTACTAGGAAAACAAGGGCACACAGAGAATGTCTATTTTTGTAAATGTAAATGCATATATTTAACATAGGCTACTCACTGGAGGTTCTTGGTGAGGGTATCTGTAACAGAAAGCATAGAACAAATTCTCCTGTACTATTAAACATGCAGTTTTCATAAAGCAGGGGCTTTATTCCAGTGTCCAACAAAATGAAATATTCCTTTATTTTCAGATGGGCATTCAAAAAATATTCTAAATTCTTTCACTGCTCTTTTGCCACTGTCTGCAGGTTTGAATCAACATCATCCTGTGTCCTTCCAAGATACAAGTTTTCTTTCACAGCAGTTTTACTTCAGGAGGCACCCTTTTCCCAGTGAAAAGAGGCTGGGAAGAAAATACTGACAGCAAACTTCTTTCTTCCTCTGGGAACCCAAAATAAAACGGGTGTAAAGCACAAAGATACCTTTGGAGTAGTCCAGCATCTGGATTACAAAAGTGTATCTTGAGGGAAGCTTTACTTTCAAAGCCATGTAACAGCTAACAAGGAATTTATTGGTTCATGATTTAATTCATTAAGCTGGCCTACTAATTATTTCTCTATGTGGCTTTACACTAGTATTATTTATGTAACAGTCATCTTTCTTTACCACTCATATATAAATAAAAGCCTTAAATTTAGATTATTCCAGTAATATTTTGCATTTTTTTAAATTACTGATCTTGATTAATAAAATGGAGAAATCAGAATACAAACTGTTGATGACCCTTTGAATTTTTTTATACAAATTAGTATTAGATGTGCACTGAGAAAGTTACACATTTAAATTAAAGAGAGGTGGAACAAGCATCATAAGCTGAGACTCATGCAGATGGCAGGTCTCTGAGGTCCCACAGTCAGTCATCAGGGTGTATTCAAAACAAAATGGACACAAAAAGCCCAAATAAACCACGTATTGACAATCTGAATTTATCTGTCACCTTTTTATTCCACTTGCTGAACAAATGGCTTTAACAGCAGCTTCAACTTACAAGTGTTATTTTTCCATAAACTTTTCTTCTCCTCCCATGAAAATGTAGGAAGGAAATCTAATAAAATCTAAAAACCCAAAAAAACAACATCCCACCAAAACACCCACACCAAACAAACCCCAAGCCCAAAAATGTAACAAAAACCTCTCCATCTACTATTCTTCCTTCCACTAAATTACAGTTTGCTGTATCACTAGCTATATATTTGTCTTTCATGCAGAAAGAAAATGAAAAGAATAAAGTGACAGAGAGAGTTGAGGTTTTGGGCATAACATGAGTGTCCAGTTTTCCCTTTGCATGACTCCATGTTCCTCTAGGTGTGAATCTGGCCTTCAGTCTGAAACATTGCACACTTGGGAAACCCAGAGATCCTTCCTGCCACTAGCACTTTGCTCTCAGCTATAGCTAGGGAGAGATGCTTGGATCCAGATTTGAGCTTTCCCTCAGATTTGCTCTTCCTGCTGGTCCTGTCATCACAGCTGCTCTGCCAGTCAGAAAATGCTACAACAACTTCTCAGCACGTAAGAATGTGTTTGCTCCCAGCTGGTGTCCCAGCCAGGGCATTCTTAGCACCTGCAAACCTCTCACCAACATGCTTGCTGCAGCAGTAAATTTAATGAAAAATTGCATAAATTCTAAAAAACATAAAATCCCAAGCACGGTTCAAACAACTACAGAAACTGCAATCACAATGAAGGTAAAGAGAGAAAATCTTCAGTACACCAGTTATCTCTACATTACAGGTTTCTTACCCTTGTAGTCCACTGGCTTTGCATTCTTTAGAAGTTCCATGCACCTGGTTTCCTCTTTGTGAATCTCCAGCTGAAATCTGCATTCTGGATGGACACCATTCACCTGTGTCAAATTAACAAATGGGTTGTTAATTGAATGTCTTAATGTCTTGAAACTAGAATGAAAATGCTTCATGAAGAATGCAACTACCAATAACGAAATCCACAACTTTAACTGGCACGCGTTTCACCCAAGCATGTGCTAGGCACACTCAACCCATTTTAGCTTCTCACACATTGACTTTTCAGAACAAAATGTTGAAACAATCTACTGGCTTCTTCCTGTAGCATTTATTTAACTTTCTAATGCATTCCTCAATATTGTGCCACCAGATCTTTTTCTCCAGAAAATCTCTGAGCTGAAACTGAAAAAGGAGAGTAGATACATTTGCTCTTTTCCCCTTTTGTAGTAAGCTAGGGAGCTGAAAGTTTAATACAAATCACAGAACATGAAAATTGATCAAACTTCATTCTCTTTGACATGGTAAATTCTGGTTTTCTTCCACCCTTTTCCACCATGTATGTTTTATCTCCTGAAGGCCCCAGATCATGATTAGTTGATTCAAGCAAATTCTACACAGGAAGAAAACCCCACTTTTAAAAAATTAAAGCACTAAAGTCTTTACTGGTTCAAAGCCCTGCCCTCAGTTCTTTGGTTTTCAGAAAAGTTTATATATGTCCACAGGAAGAAACAGGAATGCAGCAGTACTGGAGAGAGAAATGAGACCCTGGAAAATTGTACTGGGGTCAGCTGAATTCAGAGGCAGTCAGAGCCGTACTGAGAAACACATGGAGTCTGAAAGAGACTGCATGGGAGAAATTACTGCAGGAGGTGACAAATGGAAAAGCTGGAAACATCAATGGAGCTGGTGGGACAGTTTGATAAGCTCAAATGAAATCACATCTTAAATAAATAAAGCGGGAATATGCAGCATTTCAGTCATCCTCACACCTCACACTTGTAATTACCAAGAAAAAGGTGGTCTCTCTCCAAGTTTCTGTCTTTTCTTTCATATATTTTAGGAGACATTTAATAACACAATCTGGTAATGATATCTGATGCATGACACAGCAGTTTTAAAAAAATATTTATAATTAAATAAGTTGTGATTCTGGGCCCAGAACCTCGGATCCAGAGTTAGGACTGAGAACCCGGTGATGCTGCAGTCTTTTTGTGGACAAACCACTTGCACAGCTTTTAAAAATACAGTGCAAGAGCCATAAGCATAACAGCAGGGGCTGTTATGAAAACTCACAAAAATCTGTCTCTTCTCCATATGTCTCATTTCACTGTCTGCAGCATCAGAACCTGACTTCCCTTTCCATGTCTTTTCTCTATGTTGAGTATTGAAATTATACAAGTGCATTCTTTTCCTTTCAAAGACACATATTTAACATAAATGAGGATTTCTAGAATTTGTAATTTAAAGTTCAGCATTATACTGAAAATATCTACATTTTGGTATGTATAATCCTTTTTGCAGATAGTGGCCATGTAAAATAAAAGTCCCATGCGTACATAATGTTTTTTAATAGCACTTCCCTTTCATAAAACTAATTTTTGTCTACTTTTCATTTCCAAGTGCAAACACTCAGTAACTGACAGTGGATTTCCTACTCATCAAGAAGTATTACAATTACTGGGTCTTGGAAAGGAAGGTTCAATAAATAAAAAAGTTAACTAAATGAAGGATAAGTCCAAATAGCTACTGCAATTAAGAAGCCTGATGAGTGAACAACTTCTCTTTCTGACACTTCTGAAATATCAGTGATTAATAGTAAAGTTTTGTTAAAAATTCATTACTACCCAAAGGCAGCATATTACTTTTCACAGCTGGGCTACATGCTAAACTGTACTATACATCCAGTTCTAATACTATAATCTGTACTATACTATGTTCTAATACATCCAGTTCATTCAGAGGGATTTCACAAAGCTAAAGAGATTTAGTGTTCCAGACGATGTGACTCTGACCACCTCCCGAAACATATCAAAATTTTGAGGGCACTCACCACTCTTTAGGACTTGTGCTCATCCATATTTCCCTCTGCTTAACCAGTGGTAGGTTATCCTTAGTCACCGGTGAATACAGAACCGCATGTAAAGGTGCACACCGAGCTGGATATCCAGCTCAGGAGTTTCTCTGCATTTTAAGCAGCTTAACAATTTCTGAAGCATCTAGACCAACAATTTGATGAATAAACATTTCCTCTAACAAGCAGCTTGCACTGACCTTCAGAATGGTTTCCCGACTTCTAGTGTTACACACAGTAGCAAAAAAATTTAAAAGGCTTAAGTTTTTTTGTGTGTATCGTATTTCCATCAATGTAACTGACTTTTACAAACTATTTGAGAAACGCCTGAAAATATAAAGATGATAAAAGCAGGCGCCCTAAAGAAGACTTCAATATTCTGACTACTTTGTACATCTCAATCCCATTGTACAAATTACAGAGCAGTTGTGAATATGGGGCTTCTCCCCCCACGACGGTGGCTAGTGGCCTCTGGACCGCTCCCGGGCGGCGCTCCGTGAAAACTCCTCGCAAACAAGCGGGGAAAACCGCGGCGATCAAGCGGCGGCTCCGCGAGCTGGGACCGTGTCCGGGGGATGAGCCAGGGAGCGCACGGGGAGCGCCGGGAGTCCCGGCGGGGAGCGCAAGGGGAGCGCCGGGGGAGCGCCCGGGGGTCCCGGCGGGGAGCGCAAGGGGAGCGCCGGGGGTCCCGGCGGGGAGCGCAGGGGGAGCGCAGGGGGAGCGCCGGGGGTCCCGGCGGGGAGCGCAGGGGGAGCGCCGGGGGTCCCGGCGGAGAGTGCCGGGGGAGCGCAGGGGGAGCGCCGGGGGTCCCGGCGGAGAGTGCCGGGGGAGCGCAGGGGGAGCGCCGGGGGTCCCGGCGGGGAGCGCAGGGGGAGCGCCGGGGGAGTGCCGGGGGTCCCGGCGGGGCTGCCGTCGCGTTCTCGGCCGGCGGCCGGCGGAGAGCGGCAGCGCCGTGGCGGGGCTGTGCGCGGGGCCCCGCACCTGCCGCGCCGAGCGCCCGCCCCGCCGAGCTGCGGGAGCGGCCGCAGGGCTCCGCAGGGCTCCGCAGGGCTCCGCAGGTACGAGCCGAGCGCTCAGCCCGGCCCGCGGTGCTCCAGGGCGGGCTGTGCCCGGGCGGGCTGAGTGTGAGACTTACCAGGCTCCAGCAGAGCGAGAGCAGGAGGACGGGCAGGGTCCTCATGCCCGCCTGGTGCCCGCTCGCAGGCGCCCCGCGGGCCCCGGTGGAAGGCGGGGAGCGGGCTCCGGGTCCCGCCCGGCACCATAGGGCCCGGGGCCGCTGCCGGCTCCCCCGCCGCTGCCGGCTCCCGCGCCCGCCCCGCTCCGACGCCTCAGCTCCCGGCCCGACCGCGGCCGTGCCCGCCGCCGCTCTGCGCGGAGCTCCTCCTCTAGCCCCCGGCTCCTGCCCGCCCGCCCGTGTCTCCCCAGCCCCTCTCCTCGCCTTCCTTTTCTCCTCCTCCCTCTCGCTGCCGCCGCCGCTCCCCCCATCAGAGCTGCGAGCCGCTGCCCCGAGCCGGGACGCCCCCCGCCCACCGCAGGTGCCCCCCGCCACCCCCGGGCTGCTGCCGGGCACTGCGTGCTTCTTACCCCTCGCTGCGCGCTCCCGGGTGCCGGAGTACCCTTTCCTCGCCTAGGGAGCCTGGGTGCCAGCCCTGGCAGGGCATCGGTGCCCGCACCGGGGTGCCTTTTGCCCATGAAACCAGTAAGATCATCAAACACAGACCCCTCAAGCCAGGCACGCACGAAAAACTTGAGGGACGAGTGAAGTGATCCCTGGCAGGGCCCGTTTTACCACTGTGTAGAGCAACAGCTGTGTCTTTCTTCCCCACAACTCTTTTTTTTTTTCTGAGTTCTCAACAGAGAACCAAGAGTTTAAGGCAACTCCATGTTATTCCCTGGCAGCTTACACCAGGCATGGATCTAAGTTTTGTCTCACAAGGCATAGAAAATATACAGTTAAGTGACGTGTTAGCACACACCTTGTGTTATAGAAAAAGAAGCATTTATATATTTGCTTTTAGCAGAGAATGGGGATATATTACAGTTGCCTGTCCATTGACTTAATATGTGTTGTAATGTATGTATATGTACTAAAAGGGACTGAGGAGGCAACATAAAACTCTCCTAAATAGACCCCCAAAATAACCAGCTACAAGCAAAGCAAGGATACTTCTATGAGAAAAGCTAAAGAGAATTTTAATTTTTTAATGTGTATGCAAAATTCTTTTCATATATTAAGAATAAATACCTAATTATAGCATCTTTGGTATAATAAAAAAGAAATACTACAAACTAATTAACAGTATTATAACCTGCATGCTGAGAGCAGAGGGAAACATTAATGTAGAAAGAAAAACTTGTAGGATGGTATATTGTAAGTATTCTCATTATAGCAGGAAAGCGTACCTCTTTGGATTGACTTTGATCTGTGTGTGACAGATGGACTAAAGGGCCATTGCATCTACTGACACAGCTGGTTTGCAGAGGAGATTGGTTATGCCATTAGCTCTGATCTTCCTGGGCAAGCTCTCAGGTCAAAACTCCTAGACATGGAGCATTGCACAGTGCAACCCCTCTGATTTCCTGAAACTGGTGTCCGAGATTCCTCTTCAAGCTCTTGGTTGATACAGGCAGCCTGGATCTGCTCCTCACAATATCTTAAGAGCTATCAGTCTTTCCCAAATCACAACCTCAAAACCATTTCTTTTATCATTCACAAGAAGCTGATGTTTTATCACTACTGCAAGGCTTTGGAAAATCCTTCCTGTAGTGTCTCTTTAGAAGTCCTTTCTTCCCCTTTGTGATGACTGGCATCCCGCTAAGAGAGCAGTCGTTCTCATGAGTGGAATTAATACATGCCAAGGCTCATCAGGGTCACCAGCAATAAACCCCAGGGCAGTCCCTGTGCAGAGGAGCCACTAGGCAGGCTGTGCCCCAGCTGGGCTGCCCCAGCAGCTGAGGACACCAGAGTTGCCAGACACCAAACCCCAGTGTTTAATTCTTCGAGCAAATAATTCATTAGGCTGTTGAAGCTGAGTAGCCTGGGAAACCAATTAACAAATTGCTGTTAACGTTCTGTGTAGAAACAGTCTTGGGAACTGTCATCATTATTCCTTCTGTGGAATGACAGAAACTAATATCTCAAATATTAATAGTCCACATATTCTAGAACTAGCAAAGAAATTTTGAAACTTACATCTGTTCTATCAGAAGATTGTACACAGTCAGATTTTGTGATGTTTTGTTTTCAATGAATCAACATTTTTAGGTGAAAAGAAATATCATCAGTTATTTCTCAACCCTTTCCTCTGTTGCTGTTCTCAGTGACTCTGACATGAAAGAGACAGCAGATGAAGGTGATGCACAAAATACTAATATTTTTGTTTGTATATAGCTAAGTGCTTATTTTTCCCTAAGAAGAAAAAAAATTCTTGATGGATGAAGTCCAGAAATCATGGTTCAAGTTCTTTTAACTTAAACATATCACAGTTCAGCACTCTCTTACAATGGATGTAGAAGGGAAAAAAAGAACAAGAATGAAACAGAACAGCTGTTGATATATAGAGGTAAATACAAATGAGACTGAGGTTCTTAATCAGCAAAGAACAGATAGGTTTATGAAAGAACAAATGAGTCGTATAAATTTAGACAGAGTCGATTTGATGACATTTCAAAGAAGGGACTGTCAAATCAAAAGGAAAAATTTTGTGGAGATATCCATGAAGCACAGGACTGCAAACACACAGAGAGAATGGAGTCAAAACATGGACAGAAATTCATCACAATAGAGGTGGTAGAGAAGTAAATGCCTTTTGACAGAAACAAATAATATTTTGGATCATCTGAGCCTGGGTGCTCCTCAGAGGGCAGTAAAAGTGGAAATAGAAAGTTCAGTGATGGGCAATGGACCCAGTGGCAGGCAGTGCCAAGGTACAGCAAGTTCTCTGCTCTCACAATGCATTCAGGACCCAAAAGCTTTTCCTCAGTTCCAGCTGTTGGAAGAATCTGCCTGCTGAGCAAAGGTACATGCCAGTAGAGCTGTAAGTAACAATTACTTGCTGCCTGGCCATCTGTCTGTTTGGAATGCTCTAATACAGTGCTGGCAGTAAATGGCTGATTTAGAGTTTCCATACTGAAGTAATGACACCGATCTTCTTTGAGCTCAATTCTTATTTAAATTGTTTATGGAGTTCAAGATGCTTTGAAAATTTGTATTTTACTCACAAATCCCTGTTCTGTGTATAAAGTCTCCAAATCCATTGCTTTCATTTTTTAAAGAGTTTTATTTTGTTCAATTGTCTAACAATTATTGCTCACATAACCCATAACAGAGTTGTCAGAAATACCTAAACTGCATGAAAAGTTTTGAAGGGTTTCCCTCAAAGCATGTGTACAAGCCATCCTGAACAACGTGCCTTGCAGGTGTGTCTGTCTCTTCAGCTGCTCAAGCTGTTTTTTGTGTTTTGTGCCCTGCTTTCCAGACTGAAGAGAGTTTGTGTGGAATGCTGTACTAAGTTTCATTGCCAAAGGAGTGCTCCTCCTAGGTGTTCACACTTTTCAAAGACACTAGGTCTTCATCAGATATTCCTAAATCTCCCAAAGGCATTCTCTACTGTCATCCTGCATTTTGTTGTTTGTTTGGGTATTTTTTCCTGCAGCCCAACTATTTAAGGAAAGATTCCATCAGCCTTGGAAGTAGATTTTAGAAATGGTTTCCAAGAAAGAAAGATTGCGACTAATGTATGTGCAGTTTGGATCTTTTATACTGGAGAAAATTAAAGTTCTGCAAAATTTTAGTGTCTTGATCTTGCTAAGCCTCCCTCAATGATCAGACAGAATACAACAAAGACAGTTGCAGGTCTGAGTGAGGCAAACAGTATGTGTCCTCCTTGTGACAGTGGCATTTCAGACCTGGGACACCCTCCAGGGGATGTTTGCCTGCAGCACCGTCTTTTGAGAAGCAGCACAGTGATGCTTCTGTCCAACTCTCCAGCATCAAACACTGTAGCTGCAGTAAGAGGAGAAAATGAAATTCAGGTTCTCTGTGTTTTATCTGAAGATCCAGATGGTGTTCAGAAGTTCTAAAATTTTGTCACCATTACCAATAATATTATGTGCTCCTAATCTCTTGAACCCTGTGTTGTTTTCTAAGCAGAGAAGGAACACCACACAGAATTTTCTAAGGAAAAGCTGTCTCCAAGTGTTTCACCTCAGCTTTTTCATTCTCCTCCCTCTGAGCATCCCCAACAGGGTCCAGCTGTGTCTGGCCATGAAGAGTACCTTTATGATGTAGCTGAGGGTGCATCTTGTAGTGGTGAGGCTCAAACTGCTCCACAAAACACTTTTTGGCAGAGGCCTGTGGAGTTGCAGTTTGCCAATATCAGCACCCCAACGCAGAGATTCCCAGCCAGCGACAGGCATATGGAGAACCCTCTGGAATTGTCTTTCTGTAATGTGCAAGTGGCTTGGCTACAAAAAGATGTTTCTGCAGATCACAAATACAAAGAAATTCAGTGAAAACAAAGACACTTTTCTGTCTGGTTTTTTAAGTTCAGCACTGCTTAAAGTGAGGTCTATAACTATGAAATCTTCAGTCAGAAAATGGCACAGGGATGCCGTTCACTGAAGACACAGAATGTAGTCTACAGTACTTAGTGTAAAGTGTGCAATTTTATTCTTCCACTCTTTCAAATTTAGAAGACTTCTATGTAATTTCAAAAGAGCAAGAGTGATCCCTTTAGTATAATGAACTCCTTCAATTTCTTGGCCAGGGTATCCAATTTTTCTGATTTCCATTATACTCAGATCCTTATTATACTCATTAAACTAATAGGCATTCAGTTACATTTACATGTGTAGGTGAAGTAGTATTTGATCTTTTAAATTTATAGGTTAAATTTAAAATAAAGAAGTCGGGTATTTGGCATAATGAAAAGTACTTGGCTAATGTCATTTTAACTCATTTGTTTCAAAGCTACGGATTTGGTCAGTGCTTTTTATTGAGAGTTTACTGGACATGAAAACATGAAAATTCTCTCATTAGTTTTAGGCGTTTTGTAATGGTTAGTTAGTATGTTTGGTTTTATTTATATTTTTTTTAAAATTCAAAGTAAAGGGTAGATCTTCCCAAAAAACTGTAGAGATAAAACACAAAACCTACAGAAGAAATTAACTGATAAAGTGGCATTAAAGGCTTTAGAAGAATAGATGAGGAAATGCAGAAGAGAAAATAAATGAAAAATAAAATACAAGTAGTGTTTATTAAAGGGAGTTATCCTCTCATATACCAAGAGATGATACTTTAC